AATTTTCGTATTTTATGTATATATTTTCTTTTAAAGATTAGAGGATAATTTGGAATATTAATTAGTAGAAAAACTTTTTTTTAAAATATTTTAAAATATCTTCACCCAGTTAAATTATAAAAAAAATTGCCAAAATCAGAATCATTGCTTAAAGAATTATTTTTCAATAACGAAAAATACAAATTATTATTTAAAAAATACTATTATGCATTTTAAGGTAAAATTTTAGTTAAAGTCACACTTTGGTTTATAATAAACTTTTTATATTTTTAAATTATTCATTGTCTAATAAAAATGATTTAAAAAAAATATACATAAAAAGATTAAGAATATATTAAAAAAGAACATTTTTTAAAAGAATGCAAATTAAAAAAAATAAATGTTAAAATTTTTATAAAAAGATAAAAATAAGTAATAAAAATAAATTTCCTATGTCACAGCAGGCATTGGGAACCATGAATAGGGAATAGATTAAATTTGTATAGAGCATTTGAAATTTCTTTTTAAATAAAAACACTCATTAGGAATATCAGCTTTTAATAAAATTTTACGACATAAAAATTTTAAAAATTTAGAGCTTCATAGCCAAAATTCCTCAAGGTGGTCGTTACAAAAGAATAAAAATAATATTGATTAAAAATAAGTATTTATTAGTCTGGAAAATAATTACTAGGAGTAAATACAACCATTCATGTATATCCCCATGCGAAATCTCCTCCCTCCTAGAATGGGAATAGATATTTAACCTCAAAAATCGGGAAAAAATTATTTAAGAAAAATTTTTTAAAATGAAAAAAGAAGGAACTAAAAAATGGGAAAAAAATTGATATTTAAAAAAACTCGCTTGTATTATGATTTAATGGCATAAACTCTGGTCCCCAAATAATGCAAAATTTTGTTTCTTAATATTTTGTATTTTTTTTCGCCATTAAAAAATTTTAACTTTATCTATAGACTTTAGTTTATATCGGATAACTGCCTAAATTTTGATTGAAACTTGATATTAAATGTATCACATAATATATTTGATATTTTATATATACCAATAATCTGAGGCAAATTATGCATATAGCTTTATTTTAAAGTAAAAATAATCCAGCACCTATAAATTTAATAATTAAAATTTTTTTTAATATAATATCCGATTTGTTATAATTATGATCCCATATAATTGATTTGATTTCAGAAAGATTATCAAACACCAATTACCCTTTAATTTGGAATATTGGAAATATTTATAAAATTTAAGTATATAATCTTTAATCTTTAGAGTAATGAAAAACAAAGTTTTCCCTTATATTTTTATCATTGATAATTTATATTCCACTTTATCTTTGAATGTTATAGTGCCAACCTTGCATAATTTCTCCTTTTCAAAAGCCAAAACGATGGTTCCATTACAAATCTTAATTCAAAATAATTAAAATAATATATATGTTTCTTGTTTATACTTCCAAATCAGTTTTTTATATACTATATTTACTTTTAAAATGCAAGTATTAAGATAAAACTGTCTAACAAACAACTTTGTACACTTACCTCTTAATATAAATTTATTATTGCTATAAATAAATTAAAGCCAGAAAAAACATCTAAGGAAATTTGACATTATATGACAGAAATATTAATATGAAAAAAAGGAGTTACATTTATAAGACTTTAATAATAGTGAGCATTGCTAAAGGGCTCTAAAAACGGCTAACCCAATATTTTAGCCAAAGAATATTATGCAGGGGGAGATTTTGCTTATAGAAGGCAAAAAGATTTGGATATTTATTACAAAATTTTGAGGTTTGTAAAATTATTTTGACTAAAATCTTAAGTAGAGATTGTCTAAATCGAGCTGTTTAGCAACATTATTTAACAGATATGTTTTTTATTTTACCAAGGCATTAACATTCACAACATGGATTTTTCCTGCAATAATTCTTACTCCTTGAGTCTTTTCAATCAGGTATGCTTAATTTAATTTTTGTGTTTTATTTATTAAAACTAAATTTATTAAAAATACATATTTATTATTAGATAAAAGCTAAAAATATAAAAGTCCCATGAAAAAATAATAATTTCAAAAACAGTATTATTTTTTTTATATAGATAATTTAATAATTTAGGCTTAGAGTAGACTCCCGGTACCAAAATGAATTTAATTATAAATATTGGGATTAAATTTTGCGATTTATATTCATCTTCATATTTGGTGACAAAAAAAATATATATCTCTTTTTTTAAAATTCACATGGCATAAAAATAAAAGTGGTAGATATGTCATCTCCTGTTATATGGTATTTATAAACTTCATTAAAATATCATGAAATCTTAATTTATTCTTAAGATTTCTTAAAAAAAGATATATTTTGAATTATTTTTTTAAAAAAGACTAAATATAATTTGCCATACTAATGTTTAAAAAAAAACACTAAAATTATTTGGGATAGTTTCATCAAAATATCTGAATTATTTAAGACCTACTGTTGTGCGTCTAATGTCAAAATTAATTTGTTCTAAAAAATTAACTATTTCTAGGACGCATAATGTATAAATGCGGGAATCATTATTTTTTTGGAAATATTTTAAACTTTGGATGCATCCTTAAATTTTAAAGGAAATGTATAATATCCTTATTGAAACATTAGAATAAATTAGCATTATTACTTTGATGTAATTCAATATGGGGTTCGATTGCATAGATAAAAAGGTTAGAGCCATTTCTAAAATTAACGAATAAAAATATAGAAACCCAACTAATTATGTATAATGAACAAAAAAAATTACATGCATATTTGGCCGGTTGTGCGTAAGATTTACTGCTCCTCGCAATGTGACTATTTAAGTATATAATTATTTTTTCAAATTGTGATTGCATTTATAATTTTAAAAATTAATAAAATATAGTATTTTCGTGTAAAGGTTATATCATTTTTGATTTCCTTCTGAACTAACTCCGAATTATAAAAATACATCTCTTAAATCTATCGTTGAAAATATTTTACCACCCGCGACCCTATTTGTCAGGTCGACAAAAGTTAGTAGTAAATCATTATCTATCCCTAAATATTTGTTAATTGTTAAACGAAAATCTCCACATATCCGCACGGCACGGGATTTCATTAAGATATTAACCGTTGGCGTAGCCCAAGTGATTGGAATTGTTGTTGTATCCACATTCTCGATAAAGCCCTGGTCTAAAAGTCTGTCCAAATCAACTTCAAATGTTCGATGCAACGGAAATAGAATTCATCTTGACGGTAACGCGATCGGCAATGTGTTCGGTTGTATCTTGATGACAACTTTCTGTAATTTTATTTGTCCTAATTTTTTTTTAAAAATTTGCGGAAATTTTGAAACAATAATATATAAACTGGAAAAATTTATATTTATACCATTAATCCGAACTTCTTCCTGAAGTCTTATATCAAATTCTTTGAGAATTCCAAAAATATGGAAAAAATAGGTAAAAATTTTGAAATATTCTTTACTTCGACTTCCACTACACATTTACCCAATACTTCGATTTTGATATAGTTATATCCCACTAGTTTATATGCAGGAGATAATGATGGTTTGCCTATGCGACTCCAGGTAACCTCATCTATCACACACATGCAGTACCGGTATCCAATTCTATAGTAAACTGCTGCCCATTTATCTTCGTATCGGTAGCTTTATTAGCAAATGGCATGCGAGGTGTCCGTGGTTGAATCATTTGTATGGCAGGTCTTCTAAAGCCATTTTTTTAATGAAATTAGGTTTAAAACTTGATTTATAATTATTAGGAGTATAAATATTATAGTTGAATTTGTTAGCATTATAATAATTATTATTTTTGAATTTATTAACTTTATTATAATTATTATTCCCAAAATAGGCTTATGTTTAATTATTTTGTTAACTTCTGCCTGGATTTCCTTCTCCAATGAAGGCAGCGTGATCGCTAAACTCACGGTAACTTTAAAGTGATGTTTTCTTTGGTATATTTTGACCAAAGTTCTTTACCCAACTAAGGCAACCCTACTCCTAAGATAAAAATATTTCTTAAAAGTTCATAGACCGGCGATTTAAAATTACATAAAGAGCAAATACTTTTCAATTTGAGCGAAAAATCGATAATAGTTTCACCGCCTCTTTTTAAAGTATAAAATTATGTTATAGGAAAATACTAGAGATATTCTAAAATATTTTCTTTAAACTATCAAGTAAAGTTATATATTTAATGCTCTCTAAATTATTTGGGTATTGGAAATTTTTTATTTTAATTAATTTATCAGTACTATGTATGCTAATAACAAATCTTTTTTTTTTATTTTGATCAACAAAATTTTTTACTTTGAAGATGAGTTCTTTTTTATATACATAGTCCTAAATATTCACTTGTAGAAGTTGATGTTTCTTCGTTTTACTTCAGAAATATCTTCTTTGAGTCTTCTTTGAGTCTTCGTTATAGTTTTCTCTTTTTTAAAAATAATCGTCAACAAATATGGTGTTTATCAAATAGTATTCTTATTTATAAAATATATTATATTAAAAGAAGAAAATATATTAATATATACTTTTACAAAAGCGTTTATCTATTTAATCTATTAAAATAAATTGTAGCTTAAAACCAAATTAACAAAATACAATTTGTATTAATACATTATATCACTTAATCTTCTATATATTTTTCACCATTGTTTTAAATTTATCTATAGACTTTAGTTTATATAGTAGACAACTGTTTAAATTTTGATTGAAACTTGATATTAAATGTGTCATAATATATTTAGTATTATATATATATATATAATAATAATAATCTAAGTCAAATTATGCATATATCTTTATTCTAAATCAAAAAATAATCCAACACCTATAAATTTTATAATTAAATTTTTTTTATATAATGTCCCGTTTGTTATGATCATATGATCCCATATAATTAATTTCAGAAAGATAATCAAACACCATTACCCTATAATTTGGAATATTGAAAATATTTATAAAATTAAAGTATATAATATTTAGTTTTTAGAGTAATGAAAGACAAAGTTTTCCCATATATTTTCATCATTTTTGATAATTTGATATTCCATGTGATCTTTGAGAACTATAGTGCCAATCTTGCATAATTCCATTTTTTCAGAAGCCAGGACGGTGGTTCCATTACAAATCTTAATTCAAAATAATAAAAAAATTTATATTTCTTTTTCTTTATACTACTGAATCAGTTTTTTATATACGAAAAGCAAGTATTAAAATAAAATGGTCCAAAAAACAACTTTGGAATATATCTTAATATAATATATTATAGCTATAAGAAAATTTAAAACTCGAAAAACATCTCATGACATTATATGACAGAAATATTAGTATGAAAAAGGAGTTACTTTTATATGACTTTAATAGTAGTGAGTGAGTATTGTTAAACGGCTCTAAAAACGGCTAACCTAATATTTTAGCCAAAGAATATTAGGCAAGAAGAGTTTTGCTTACAGAGGAGAGAGGTTTGGACATCTATTAAAAAAAATTTGTATTTTGAAAAAAAATATTAAGTTAAGATTGGCTAAATCAAGCCGTTCAACAATACTATTTAATAGATATATTTTTTATTTTACCATATCATTGACATTCAACACTTGGATTTTCCCTTCAGAGAGTATTTTTACTGTTTGAATCCTTTCATTAAGATCTTAATTTTATTTTTGTGTTTTTTTAATTAAAATTAAATTTATTAAAAATATATATTTATTATTAGATTTAAACTAAAAAAGTCCCATGAAAAAATATTAATAATTTCAAAAACAATATTATTTTTTTTATATAAAGAATTTGACTAATTTAGATCAGGTTCCGGGTATCAAAATGAACTTGATTGTTATTAATTAATTGGAATTTGCGATCTATGATAATCATCTTCTTATTTGGTGGCAAAAATTATATAATAATGTCAAATGTATTAGTAGTGCTTTGTCGATCATTTTATTTTTCATTCTATCTGGAATAAAAGTAAAAATATATATGGATAGGTCATCTCCATCCATTTATAAACTGCATCATAATAACATCAGATCTTAAGATAAATTTATTAAATAAAAGACAGATTGAAATATTTTTTTAAAAAAGACAAAATAAAATGTGCCATCATACTAATGTTAAAAAAAACTCTAAAACTATTTGGAATAGTTTCATCAAATATTTAGATTATATAAGACTTTTTGGGGTGCGTCTTAAGTCAAATATTTTTAAAAATAATTAACTTTAATCAAATTTTTAAAATCGAGATAGAAAGCAAAGGTATAAATTAGAGAATCATTTTTTTTGAAAAATTTTTTAACTTTGGACTCACTCTTAATGTCAATATATAGTATATAATATCTTTATTGAAACACAAAATAAATTATTATCATACTTTCTTGTAATTTATTATAGGGTTTGATTAGATAGATGAAAGGCCAAGTAGCATTTCTAAAAAGAACAAAACTATATAATTATATGTATCATCAAAAAAAAATTACTGGCATTTTTTGGTAGGATTGTAATTGGTTTTCAGCTCTTCACATTTTATCTATTTAAATATATATATTTTTATATCAAATGTAGATTGTAATTATAATTATACAAATTAACTTAATATAATAAAGCATTTTTGTGTAAAGGTTATATTATAGTTTAAGTTAAAAATATTTATTTTAAGTTAATTTAAAAACTTATAATATATTTTTTTATACCCAGCTTTTATTTTATAAAAATAATATACCTTGTAAGTTTCATGTAAGTAATTTTTTGTCAGATCTAAAGCATAAATTTTCAAAAAAATTTACAAAGGAAAATTAAATAATTCGACTTATAAAAAACCTCAAAGTGATAAAAGGTTGTTCTGGTTTATTAGGGATATTTATATAGAACCCTTTATAAAAATTTAATTTTTTGACAATCATGAATAATTTATAGGTCATTTTTGGGAATTTCATCTTTACATTGTCCTCGATAAAATTATAAGGTGTCAGATGAGAACGACACAAGATAAAAAATAGGATTAAGTTTAGGTTTAAATGGGGAATATTTATGATTAAATGGGTAGACTTATAATGTATAATATTATAAATTTTATAATTTATTTTTAGAGCTACTTTTTTGATATAATTACAATTTATGGTGTTATATCATCTTTAAAGGGGCATATAGTATGAATAAATAGTAGTGAAAGGTTATAGCGCGCCATTTATTTGCCAAATAGCCCTTATGAAATTAACTACAAACCCGAAAATTAATATATAATGAATAATATATTATAATTTATATATTTTGTTATTTAATTTATAAATTTAAAATTTATATGTGTGAAAGATTTAAAATATTTACGAAATGGGTATAGATGTAAGTGTGTTAAAACACAGATAACATTAACGAAATTAAGATGATGATAATCTTGATAACAATAATATCAATTTTCTTTCTTTTTCCAAAATTTAATAAATGTTTTCAATTTTATGGGGAAAAAGAGTTGGCCATAAAATTATGTGTTTAAATGCAGAGGATAATTGTCATGACTTTAGGCAAGACCTTAAGGTATTATTTATTTAGAATGTTCATGTCAAAATTAAGAATGATTAGAAAATTATTTTTAATATATAATTTTTATAAATTCTTTATATAATCAATAAATATAATTGGAATATTTTTACAAATGTAGATTTTTAATTTTGTAAATAAAAAAATAAAATAAATTTATTAATTTTTTATAAAGTACCTTAAAAGTAGCTAAGCTACTCTTTAAAAATGGCAGCTAATAGCGCGCAATTTTTATTTAATAAGTGGCGGTAGCGCGCAACTTTTTTAGCTATAGCATTAGCGAGCTACTTTTAAAAATAAGATTTAACAACACTGGTGATTTATTCCTATATTAAAAAATTTTACTTTGTGATTTATGGCGGAAATTATTTTCGTTTTCTAGAAGGTTGATAATATTAATAAAATACAATAATTTTATTAAAATAAAAAGTCGAAAATAGTTAAACATCCATGACTCAAAGGCTAGTAAATTTAAAGAAAAAAACAATATTGAATTTCTCAAGATATGAAAGTTAATTCGTAAGATGAGAGAGAAAAAAAATTATATCTTAAATTTTGTCACTTAATATTTATATCAATTTACAATAAATAAGAGAGCAGTTGAAAGATCAGGGGCAGTATCTAAATAAAAGTGGGAAGAATGACAGCTATATGCTTCTACATTCTTACTGGTGATATGGATAAAATTACTAGGAGTGTAGGGAGTTAAAATATTTTGAGAAAAGGGGGTAAATCAAGACGTGATATTTTTTAAAAAAAATCCATCATGAAGAAGCTGATCAATTATGTGTTAATAATTAATAATTAAAAACTTTATTTCAATGCTTTAAAACACTATTTTCGTGAGAGATTTTATTTATAAAGACTAAATTTTTTTTAGATATTTAACCTTCAATTTAGAACATAATATGGTCATTTTAAAAAGAGAACAATATTTTATTTATATTTAATTTAAAAATAATATATTATTTTAATGATTAAAGTAAATGTAAAAGTAAAGATAAAACGTTCATTTTTGATCGATATTTTTCTCTAAATTATAAGAGTTTATATTGTAAAAATAGTAAAATACTTTTTTCAAAACTATGTTAAGAACTGAATTTACTTTTTTTTATAAGACATGATAAATTAAGATAAAACCAATGACATACAATACCTATCTAGACTGATGATTTATTCATTTATTAAAATTAGTTGCTAAATGGCACAATTTGAGCAATTTTTAAAAAACGGCTAACTCAATATTATAACCAGAAAAATATTACATAAACCTCAAGATTCCCCTAATAAATATCTAAACATTTATATCATCTGTGATCAAAATATTTACTCTTGCATAATATTGTTCTTGATAATATTGAGTTAGCCGTTGTTTAAAATCAGCTCAAATAGAACTGTTTAACAACATTAATTAAAATGCACTTTTGAGCTTTTTGAATTCAAATCAGCTGGTGGCACGCCATTTTGGCTATATTTTATCTAAGTTTTTACGAAATTTTTATGTTAAATATCATTTTTTAAATTATTGAGATATTTCCATAAATATTAAAATTTTATTTACATTTATAAGTTAATGTTATTACACATATAAAATACGAAAAGATTATTTATTAAAACCAAAATTCTATAAAAAATTATAAAATATTATGTGATATGTTTTTTTTATTGATTAATCATTTTGATAGTAATTCTCAATATAGGTATTCGGTTGGGGTGTGGTCGTATTATTTGGGTAAATTTAGAATTGATATGAAAGAATATTTGTTCATTTATTTTTACTAAGAAAAATACTAATCATTCGAGAAATGGAATTAATAAAATAAACGTAATTATCCTTAAGAAAACCTTTATGGGGCTTTTTAGAAATTTAAATATTTATTTTAAAAAAATAAAATTTTTCTAGTATATAATTTTTAGTTAATATAATTTCTTAATATATATATATTCTTTAAGTTTTGTGATTATTTGAAAAAAAAATAATAAAGTTAACAAATATATAAATCAAGTTAAAATTATTTTTTAAATTCGATGATTCTAGGAGCTTTGATCCTCTAAAACGTTCATCCTAGAACTTACTGGTCTTTACAGATATGATAGGTAACTCCAGATGGAATTTCTCAAATTCCTTAGAAGAGAGACATATTCCTGGTTAGGAATTATTCGTGCATTGATCCGGTTCCTTCTAATAAAACCTCGAACATAATTAAGAAAAAAGAGCAAATTATATATTGCTAAATATTCAGAAATTTTGCAAGACTTTATATTCAATACGATCATTACGTCTACCTCAACAACATTTGGGAATTGTGCTTTGTCCTCTTTTAAGAAATATGTTTCTCACATTAGTAAACATATGGATAAACCTCACGAATGTTTCTTCTCGAGGTAAATTATAGCCATTGTCACAAGGCACATTACATTAGCTTCACGAGTAGCCTCTTTCAAAGGATAAATTTTTTTGAATATTAATATTATTTTTTTTAAATTATATAAATAATTTTTTTTTAATATGATTTATAGACAATTAGAAATATTATAATATTTATCCTTTATTTTTTTTCCAATTAATGTGATGATCCTGTCTGGTTTTTATAAAAATTATATTTTTAAAGAAATAGAACCAAGTTTAATTTTAATGAACTAAATAAAAATATTTCTTATTTAAATATGGTACAAATGTGAAAAGGAATCAAAATTGATTGAATTTAATTTTTTAAAAAATAATTAAAATGTATTTGATATTTTAATTGGTTATATTTGTATTTGAAATTGTAATTAGTCTCTGCTCGATTTGAATATATTTTTAAAAATGGCTATCTCTTTATTTTTGTTAAAAAATTAGGCAAGGCTAAAAGTTCTGATCATATATAGCAGTTTGGTTGAACATCTAGGCAGAATATCTCGAGGCTTAGAAATTTTATTGTGGCTAATATATTACGTAAGTCATTTTTAAAATTCAATAAAGTGTATAAAATTTACTAATTGGCAATATATTTACAAAGTATCATAGTAGATTTTCAATAAGCTATACATAAATTTAAGATATTCTAATAACTATTTATGAATTAAGTTAATCCATTGATTATGACAGTACTAATATAAATGTAAATTTTTAGAAAATGAACAGTTTTGTAAAAATTTTGAATAGTTAATAAAATTATGGTGCATAATACCTGCTACAGTGCTAGTTTCTAATTTAAGTTCTAATTTTAATAAAATAAATTATACCGATATTAAATATTAATAAATATATATTAATCTATTTTTTTTAAATAATCAATTTAATATTTATTTCATTTATTCTATATATTTTTATAAGGTTTAACAAACATTAAAGTTTTTAAATACTCAAGATAAAGTGAAAATTCAAAAATGTAAGGTATTTTATATGATAGGTTTTTCAATTTTTTTCTTAGATTTTAAAACATTTGAAATAGGATGTTTCCTTTATATAACGGCAAACTTCTCTTAATAATCAATTAAAGAAATAAAATTATTGTTTTTAATAGTTGATAATATTTCATTTTTTTAGTTTATTTGGTAATAATAAATTGAATACACTTTTAAAGAGTTGAGAGACAAAATTAAAAAATAAATGCTAACTTAGCTGAGAACCATTTTTTTAATTCCCATAAAAGATGATTTAGTTAATAATAAAAGCCTGAATAAAATTGTATAATTTAAAAACCTAATGAAAATAAAATTTCTGTAATTTTTTTAATAAAAAAAGAGGTTTGATGAAAGGTATCAATTAAAATAATAACATTTATATAAAAATTGCTTTAAATCTAAAAATTTGTAACTCCAAAATTTCTGAAAATCTATAAATTTGTAGTAAAGATAAATAAATAATTGGGTATATATTTAAAGAATCCACAAAGATTTAGCTAAGTTTAATTGCTACTAAAGAAAATATTTAGTATATATTTAAGAAGATAACCGTATTTTTTAGAAATATATTTATATATATATCTATAATTTGGAAGGAGTGTTAAAATATTTCAGAGAAAATAATTTTATCTAGTTCATAGATGCCCATATCATTCTGCCCTGTTTGGCAAAATTTCCCAGTTTGGTATTATTTTGGCTAAAATTTTGGTTTCGCCGTTTTTAAAAATCGATTAAATTGAAGGGTTTAATAATACAAATTGGATAGCTATGCAACAATTTGTGTGTATGTGATTAATTATTTAGTTAATAAGCTAATCGCAATAAACTATACCAGATATATTCCGAATGTTTAAAATATCGGGTTTTCCTTAAAATACCATCAAAACAATTTCCCTTTATTTTAGGAAATTAGGTTAATAATTTCTCTCTAAAGAATAGAATTAAATTTATTGTTTCATTAAATATATACTTAAAAATAGATAAAAATAATTATTTTCTGGATATTGAATTTCATTTTAGAAATAAATGACAAAACAGTAAAAATTAGTCATGAAAAAAAAACCGTTAGAAAATATAATTTAAATATGCTTAATTTTTAAAAACCTCTATTTTCCTCGTGAATATTACTGATTAATATCTGGTTTAGACTTAAGTTTTATTTATGGAACATAATTCACTCATAATAGTAATAAACTAAATTTAGTTATATTCAATTATGAATTCCTTCATTAGCTTCACGAGCGGAAGGGAACGTAGGGTCTCAAACCCCCTAAAAAATTTGAAGGGCCCACTCAATTTTGTATTTTTTTTATACCACCAAAAAAATTAATAGAAGTTAGCTAAAATAAATGGTAATTTTATTTAAAAATAATAATAAGATTTTTTGATCATTTCAATTGAAATTATAGAGGTTAGTGACGTCCCTTCACCCCTTTTAGATTAATTAAATTTTGCATTACTTAGTTGTGTAGTTTTTGGGGCTAAAATAAATATTAAAATGTAATTTTGACTTATAATTAAATAATATATAAAGATAAATTTCTAAGTTTATATAATAGGTAAGTGTTTTACTAGGTTAAAAACTTTTAAATTTTCATCATGTATTTTTTTTAATAAAAAATAATTTTGATAAAAATTATTAATAATAGTAATATTTATGTAAGAAATGCTATAAATCTAAAATTAATAATAAAATTTTAAATCTGGATATCTTTCAATTCATATTAATATTAAAGAAAACGAGGTACATATTTAAATAATCCACAATTAAAAATTAAGTTAAGTTATTAATTGTTTCTAAAACAAGGAAAATATAAAGATTTAGTATATATTTATATAGATTAGAGCATTTTTTATTAATAAATATATGATTGGAAGTAGTCTTGAAAAACTGCTAGATTAATATTAACTAAACCTCTGAATTCCAGTCAGAGTCGCTTATATCTTTTTTCCCTCTATGACAAGAGTTCCTAGGTTTAGTGGGTATTATTTTGGTCAAAATCTTTATTTAGCCATTTTTAAAAATCGGATAAATCTATTTAAATATTATAGTATGCAACATTTTGGCTCTCCTAACTGCTTCAGCCATTGTGACTAATTTTAATATATAAATCTATGCTAAAAAGAAATCTTAATAAAACTTTATGCCAGTTATATTCGGAATGTTTAAAATATCAGTTTCTTTTTAAAATTCTATCAAACGATTTCTCCTAATATTTTGGGAAATTCGGTTAACAATTTATCTCTAGGTAGAATTAAATATCAAACATATTTTCTTATATATTGTTTAGTTATTTTTAAATAGATTTACGCTTGCATTAAAGCTTATAAACGCTAATAATTAATTTTGATGCATTATTCTCTGCGGCAGCAATGAATATATTAACTAAATATGAATTTCAATAAAAGATATAAATATCAATTTGGTTGTATTTCTATTATAATATAAATTACAATGTTATTAGTGCTAATACAAAATTATTAAATGAAGAAAACATTTAATAAAAAGTAAAATGATTTTTTAAA